AGAAAACTAATAAAATATAATTATGTGAATGACCGATTTTATGTAAAAAATAGGCATAATATTTATTCTGCTACTACTTAGGCAGAAGCAAAGAGAAATCAGTTATATAGACAATTATGTACTGTAGTATACCTAGCTACTTTTAGAGTATTATATCAGTAAAATTACATAATTATTATAGGTATAGCTTGATATAATATATTAAAATAGTTACAGAATTCTAAATTTATCTTATTTATAAAAAATATAACTTTGAGAACATTATCAAAATTTCAGATTGTAGAAATATAAGGTAAATCAGTAAAAATAGAAAAAATATGTAACTTATTGCCATTAAAATTCCTATACTATATTCATAAAAAGAATGTTACTGTGAATTTTTCAGATTTGGATAATAATAGTGAATTAAATTTTTCAGATCAGATCTTGATTCAGATCCTAAATATTGTATTAATAAAATAATATATTATTCAGCCATGCGAAGTATCTTAAGGCTAATGCATATAGGTATGTATAACATAAATTAGCATATTTTTAATCTTTGTTAAAGTGTATGTGATATAATAATGATATACTGCAAATCATCTATATAAGTGTGACTATCGCTTATGTGACAAATTAATTTTCACATATAAATCAATCTACTAAAAATATTTTAAATTTTTTTCTCACAATATTTAGCGGAATAAGATTTAGCAGAATAATATTTACTGATATAAATATTTGCTTCAAAGGGATATGCTTTTTAACACCACTGATTCTGAATAGAATATATTTATATAATATTGCTTGGGTCTTAATATTAACTATTAAGCAGTTGATAAGCGAAAAAAATCCATATATGCATTATCCCTAATGCCTTTTATAAATGTTGAGATCTTTAATGCATATTTTGCATATTTTTACTAAAACGAATATAAAATTTTGATGCAAAGTGCCTTGCATATTTTTTTCTATCTCTTTTTCAATATAAATATGAGTTTAGAGAAGTGTAAATATGAGGAAATAGTAGTATTTAAAAGGATAGTATAGGTAATTTTTAGCTTTTTGTCATTTATTTTGCTATTTGTATTATTTTAATATATTAGTATTATTTTATATTTTAAACTAAGTATGTAAATATATCTACTGTAATGTATAATAAGATTACGATTTCTTAATAACTGCTGAGAAATATCAAATAAACGTTACATCTGTTATTTATCTTAGAATAAAAGAAAACTGCTGAATTTTCTAAATAAAGTTAAAATCAATTGTAGAACGAGCTGTAGAATCTGCTAGTAATACATTTATGGAAGGTTCTTCTTATCAATTAAAAATTTTTCAAATCCTACTATAGGTTAGTTAGGATTTATACAAACATTTTAGCTTTTATTATTATATAATGATACTGTGTGATTGTTTACTAAAGTAAATCTGAATAAACAAGTTGTTTTTTAGTTTGTTGCTTATATTTGACCTACCTATTCAGCTTATTTATTAGTAAATACTTATACATAATAGAAGATGTATATGCTATAATCTGTTATACAGTTTTGTAATTCATCCTATCAACCTATTATGTGAAAAGATTATTACCATATTAAGGTATATTAAAATATAAGTTATTATATTACTTTGTTAGTATTACACAAGTTTTATTTGTATAATAATCATACAAAAATGATAACTTTATATATACATTGATGATTGTATTATTTTTATGATGAAAACTTCTTTTTATTTCTAAAATCTAACACAATACTTTTTTTAGTTTGACATTAGCTTTGAAGGTATTTATATTTTATATCACATGGAAGTAATTAAAACAGATAAGAAAATTCCTTTTGATTTAGATCAGATTAAAGATAATATAAATGATTTGAAAGAAAACCTTAGAAAAGACATTTTGCTACTCTATCAACAATTATATTCTAAAGTAAATGCTATATCTATTCAAAACTTAACCTAAAAGGATCCTTTGGCTAGCTAAGTTATTAATGATCAATCAGAAATTGTCAAGCCAAATCTAAAAAAAACATTTAAGATAAGTAACCATAAATTCATTAAAGGTTCTTTGAGAATAAATATAATATATTTTTTATATTAGAAACCTGCTCAGCAAATGATACCTGCTCCTATAATAATAGTTAAAGAGATGTGTGAAAATTTCATAACAAATTTTGTTGATTGTAACATTCAAAATACAATACTAGATAAACTAATTCATGATGGGTCTTGAAAAGAATCAGAAAAAAAATCACGAATATTATAAAAGAAGTTTTAATTCTTCTGAAAGATATTTGGATTAATCCAGTTTTTAATTTTAAACTTGCAAAATTACTAAATAAAGGAACTTATCAATCAACAGTTATTTTATTGTCTATTCAAGCAATATTAAAAAACCTTCTTTTTAAATTATCTTTATTTATCAGTACTTCAGAATGACAGAGTGTTGCTAGTACAGATAGAAAAGGTGAAGAGCAGGTAAAAAGACGATCAGATATTATATACGTGGTAAAATATTTAGATGTTTTCTTTAAACTTATGTATGTCAAATGTTTACGATTATACTATAGTTAATAGAAAAAAGATAGATAATGAGATAAAGTTATAGAAAGAAAGTAACAATAGAATATTCTAGGTTCACAAAGTTTTTAAACTAAAAAAAGATCAATTTATAATAGTTGGAGTACAAGTAGCTAGAAATATGTTGCATCTAAATGTACTTATTAGAGATAAAGCAAATATTTTCATTTACAATCAGTTGAAATTTCTGTATGATTATCAGATATAAGTGTTGTAACTAAATTTGTAAAAACCCTTTTACTTTTACAAAACATATTAATTACAAATTTGTTCTTACTATATCACACATCTATTTTTATATTAGAAAGATAAAAAGAAGATAGTACTAAAGTTTTTACTCTAATACGAGATAATTAGAGTTTCTTTTTTTTGTAATTTATATTATATATCATTATTTTTATATCAATAAAGTGTCCTAGTAGCCAATTATTTTTATACATTTATATGTATTTTTTCGTGTAGGTATATACAGGATAATATTTTTTTTGACAAATTTACAGGATTATATGGTCTTAGAAAACACATAATTTTTCTTGGCAAATTTCGCTGATGGTCATCAGAGAAAACATATGATTTTTTATTTTTGAATACTAATACTATATTATACAAGTATGCAATCTGAAATAGATGGTCTCAGTGAGACTGATACATTAAAATAATATATTAATGAGATTGAGGCTAAAAATAATAAAATTAAGGCTGAGAATATTAAGCTCAAGGCTATAATTGTAAAATTGGAAGATAAGCAATTACAAAATGAATTAATAAAAAATTTATTATCTGTATTATGTAAAACATGATCATTTATTAATGCTGGCAAAAGTGATTAACATTATAAATTATAATGTATATGTGATTTGATCAGAATTGTATTTCTAGTAGATCTCTTATGATATTGATGCGTAAATTTATTCATATTAATTGCTTGAATGCAGAGAATGCTCAGAATTTTTAGATTTTTAGAATTTCTTATTTTCTGTATAAAATAACTAATAATATACTGACCTCATCTTTTCACATATATTACTTAAAACAACTTAACCAACTTCTTTGATCTATCAAAATGGATATATGGTAAAGTCTTACATTTTGAAAATATTTGTTATCACTAAAACAGACAAGTAGTATTTATTCTAAAGTAGAAGATTTATTAAATAAGGTAATTGAAAATTATATTAAGAAAAAGAAGCATCAGAGAATGAAACCTATTATCAGTAACTGTGAAAAATTATTAAAAAAAGAAAATGAGAAGTTGTGTATATTAAAGTAAGTATTGAAAAAAAGATTGAAGAGCTTCTCGACTTATAAGAATAATATAAGTTTTGTAAGATAACTATGATCAGGTCTTTAAAGAAGAATAGCAGAAAAGTCACCCAATTATCAAATTCAGTAGCTTTCTTCAAAAGTATAATTCCTGATACGAAAAAAACTATGATATTAGTTAAAAGTCTATTGATGCATTAGAAAATAAATGCTGACAACTGAAGGATATTATTTCTGCTAAGAATAGGAAAATTATTACTATTATTGATTAGATCTCTTTCTATATAAGATATAATAATATAAATATAGAATTGAAAGTATATTCCAGTATTGACGAAAAAAAATTATAGATGAAGAGGTATAATAAGTCTAAATATGATATAGAAGCCTAAAAAAAATATACATTTTGTTTCAATTCATCAATATTTTTGAACAAAAATTCTATTCATTAAAAAATAGTATATTCTAACCTTTTCAAATCCTATGAGGATGGTTTAAAAGAACTGTTAAATTGAAGATAATAAAATTATGATCATACAAATAGTTAACGACATCTGCATATATACTATGTCAGTTATTAATTTATTTGTAATTAAGAAATATTTATTATTATTAATTATTAATTATTGAAATAAATTACTTCTTTGCTTTATTTTTTGTTATTTTTATTAAAAATTATTTAGAAACACTTAAAAATTTTATAATAATTATTGAAGTTTTATCTCTTTAATTACATTTATTGATATTAATATATTTGATTAAAATTATATTATTATAAAAATATAGCTATATTATTTGAAAACTAATATAAATTACTTAATATTTATTATAGCTAATTATAAAGCGATATAAAACTCTTTTGAATATTTAATTTTCTAGGATTATAGAAAACAAATATACTATTTATTAAATAAAAAAAAAATAAAAAAAATAAAGTTAAAGAAAGTATTAAGAATATATAAGATAGAAGAAGAAAACTATAATTACTAATAATAAATAAAAAATAAGATAAGCTTAAAAAAAGTATTATAATAGCAATCTAAAGAAGAAGTGAGGCATCCTGCAACAAAACTAGACAAAGTGAACATTAGTATTATCAAAGATTTCAGGGATCAAATGAAAAAATTATTGATTACTAAAAATGGACATTCCAAAAAAATTCTTTAACGATGAATAATATTGTAAAATATAAGTTCTACGAATTTTCAAGTAAGGAAATAATTATTTATAATTTCAAAAATTATAAACATTATGTGATTTAATATTATTAATATTATTAATTCTATATTTACAATTTATTATTATAATTATTATATCATAGTTATCAGGACGATGTCAACATTATTAATATTAGTAATAATTCATCATTATAATACCTTTAATAACATTATAGATCTTAGAAATCAAAAAGTAATGACACAGTTTGTATTACTTAAAAGATGTATAAATAAGAGCACATTATTGAAAGCTAGGTCAGTGTGTGTTTTATAACAATTTTTACAAATAAATCAATATATTGATAATAATATCAAAGATAATACATTTAATTATAAACGAACCTACTTTTCATGAGGTGAATTCCACACATACATCCACTAATTACATAAATAATTATTAAATCCTTGGGGACATCTTTGGATTTATTACTTAATTAAGTAATTTCAGTTGACTTTAAATGGAAGTTTAGTTATTCTGGCCAAGGTGGTGGAAAGTAAAAACATCAAGTATAATGATAAAAGAATATCTGAAGTGAAAACAACCTAATTAGGATATTCGAATATTAGTCATTACAATATGAATATTAGTAATAATATTATTGATAATAGTAATAGCAATAGTGAATATTGAATTTTTGTCAGAATGCTTAAAGAATAGGTAATACTTTGAGTCTGAGTATTTTCCTTCTATGCAAGTACTCTGACAATTATTTAACATATTTTTTATAAATTATTTATGTATTTTTCTATTATTAGTTGAATTAAAATAAATTTTTTTTTGTCATTTAATTCATTTGTCCATAAAAAAAAATTTTTTTAATTGCAAGTCATGTGTCTACTAATTTATCATTGGTTCAAATTATTTATAGAAACAATTAATTGTAACAATTATCTAAATCAATAAAAAAAAAAACAATTTTTTTAAAAATTCATTTTTAAAACTTTTTAATTCAAAAAAAAATAGCAACAATTGAAGAGATAAGAAACGAATTAAATGATGCTAAGGAAAGGTTGGGTAAAGCGAAAGAGGATTTGAAGGAGTGGAAGAAAGAGGAGAACAATAGAGAGTTGCTGAAAAGGTTGAGGATAAAGGCAATAAGTGGAGAGCTTAGTGAAGGGGAAAAGAAGGAGAGAAAAAGGTTAGAAGAGGAGTTGAAGGAGCTGAAGAAAAATAGGGACGAGAAGTGGGAGAGATTTAAGAGATGGGATAAGAAACTATATAACTTTGGAAAAGAAAAAGGTAATAAACAAATTATGTAAAAAAAAAAAAAAAAAATATTTTTCATTCATTCTATTTCGTTTATTTATTTATTTGAGGGAATGTTTGTTCCATTTCATTTTATTTGTTTGTTTGTATACTGTTTACAACTTTGACTAACTTGTGCTTTTCAATGACCTATTGAAATATATATTTCTTATTGTCTATTATCTTCTATCTATTTTACATATGCATTTTTTATTCTTATTTTAACAGGAGAAAAATGTTTGCTAGATAAAGGTATATATATTATCTTCAATATTTTAATTTATTATATAATTTTTATTTTTCTAATATTTTGGTCTTTTGTCATGCAAATAGGTATATTTTGATTACTATATTTTGCATTTTAGTATTATTCATTTAGCTCACAAGATTATCACTTCCATTTTTTACTTGAAATTTTCATGAAACAGAGGATGAAGGTAACTTACTAGATTCATTTGATTTTATATCTATATACTTACAATAACTCAAATTATATGTTATTACTAGCAGTTCAAATAGTTAAACGTAGGAAATAGGAAGTGAATGGTACTATTTATCCAGATCAATACAATAAATACTTTATTATAGAACCAAAAATTGATGAATTTTTTGATGATATTAGAGATGATGTATATATACTGCTATATGGGTCACATGCATTAGGGAAGTCAATACATATCATATATGTAATGCAAAAATTGCAAAAAGAGGGATATCATTGTATCTAGTAAGTTTTACTTTATATATATATAAGATTCTCTGATAACATTTTTTTCTTACTATTGTTTTGTTTTTCTTTTGTTATGCAATGATCATTCTTTATGATATAGTTTGGATTTTACAGAAGTAAATGTTAAAAATGATGAAAAAGTAATATGAAAGTCACTTCAATGGACATTAAAATCCCAGTATCCTAAGAAAATTGTTAATAATGAGTTTTATGAGATAATTCACTTTATCAAGACATTTTCTAAAGAGAAATGGAATCGCAAAGTCATTTTATTTTTTGATGAATTTGATAGAATTTATGATGCACCTGATGGAATTAATGATGACTGTTTAGGTGCTATTCGTTCCTTAAAAAATACAAGGAATCATGTTATACATTCTGTGATAGCTGCTAGTACCTTTAGCATCTGATACTTGAATCCAAGAGGAAATCACACATCACCCTTCAATGTTGCAACAAGCTTCCCAAATCCAAACTTTACAAAAGAAGAGGTAACACATCTATATCAGAATTATTCATCTTCAAGGAAGATAAATATTGATACATCAATCATTAGTGATATCTACAATAAAACAAATGGGTATATACAATGATTCAATCTTTAATTTCATGAATGTTAAAATTCTCATGAAACTAATTTTTTTTTCCTGTTATGTTTATGTTTTTGGTAGCTATGCTGGATTTGTTTGTTTGTGTGGTCGTGCAATTGATGAAGATTTGATTTGTGGTATTGATGAAACTAGAAGCTTACATCTGGATTCTTGGATTATTTATTGTTCAAATGAATTACAGAATAGAATTATTCAATATCTAACATTCACAAAGATGATTTCAACATTAAAAAAGTCAAAAGCTTCTATGGACTTGCTTCAATCTCAATTTATGTTTGATTTGGAGTTTCATAATGTCACCCTAAGTGACATTAACTTTGCTAATTTTCTTGCTGCTGAAGGGGCCCTACATCCATATGAAAAATATTCAGCTAAATTTAAGATTTCTTCACCTTTAATATGTACATTGATATTACAATGTGTGATTCCTTCTGTATACTCAGATCGTCTTAAAGTTGATTTACCTTATCAAGATGAGATTTTTGTTACTATTAATGCTCTAAAAGAAGTTGTTAGGGTATTTGATCAAGGTGTGATTTCTTTGGGATTTCAACAATCATTTAAAACAGCCAAGAATTATGTTAATGATAAAAAGAATCAGCATGTACTTTGGGAAAGTGTATATGATCAAGAATTTTTTCGAATTTTTTCTAACTGGCTCATTCCAAATGGTTTTTCAATAAGTGGACAATGGCATTTAATAGAGGGTAAAACTCATCAGTATCTAGACTTTGTAATTACACAAACAACAGCAACTCTATTCTTGTTATAGAACTAGTGGCAACAGCTCCAGATTATGATCTTAAAAATTATTTAAAACAATAATAGAATATGCAGAAAAGCTTAAAGCAAATGAAGCATGGGTAGTTCATTTTACATGTGCAGACAATGTTATTGAAAAACCTATTTGGCCAATTGAACAGGAACAAAAAGATAAGCTTTATATAGTACATTTTTGGCATGATATATCTTTCAAGAGTGTTCAAATGACTGCCCGTTTTCTAAATGGAGAAATTATTAATGAAATTGTAATTAGTTAAATCATTAATGTATATGTTTAGTGAATTTTCTTTGCAAATTAAATGACAAAATTGAGCATATTTTTAATCAATATTCTTTAATACTTTTTCTAAAAGTTTAATAATCAACTATGAAAATTTAATATAATATGTGAAGACTTCTAATTGTGAAATTATACTTAATCATCTTGTTGAATAAAATTTAGTATTATAATTTTAGTAGGGGAAGAAAAATACAATGTGAATTTTCCTATTGATAATTTTTATAAACAAATTTATTAAAAAACTTTTCTTTCAAAATTTCTTACTTTTCAATGACTGGCTGGCTATAAATGATTTGAGTGGTGAGATTATGAAATATATAAAGAGGATATTAATAAAATGCATCACTTATTTTTGCATTATGATAGAATCCAAGATGAAAGAAATTTCATTTACCTTTTGATGGTTATATCATTTGTGTAAATCATGAAAAGCAAATAAACATAAAAGTTTGTAATCTTGTGGATGAATGTCATTAAAATTAGCAAGATTGTTATTGTATGTATGAAAATCACTGTATTTTAATTTAAATTGTAAAACCTAATACATTAGTCCTGAAAGTCAGATGATAATAATACAAAGTGAACATAAAATAATATATATAGGGATAAGTGTATATATGAAAAGTAATAATAAATATAATGATTCTAATGAATATCAAAAAGCAATTGATTTTTTAGAAAAAGGTTGTAAATGTGGTTGTTCTTTAAGAATTCCCAAGGAAGAATTTGCAGAATTAAGGGAATCTTTTCAAGCACTTTCCAAGTCTGAACAGGATATATTTTTAATGGCTCAACTTAAAACAATAGATGGTGGATCAATAAGCACTAGTAGATGCCTTAAAAAGAAAACCAGATCTAATAAAAGAACTTTCTATCACTGGGATCACAATACACCTCTTTGTCAAGAAACTTATCTCAATATATTGGGAATTAGCAGAACTTATTTTGAAAATATTAGAAATCATCTAATAAACAATAGTCTTCTGCTAAGAATTCATAGTAATATTAAAAGAATGCCTCAATGGAAAACTAAAATGATGATTGATAAAAATGTTGCTGAAGTAATAAAGAATTTTCTAGAAAATTATGCAGAAGTTCATGGATTACTAAGTCCAGGAAGAAGTATCAATAGAATAACTCAATCAATTGTATTCTTACCAGCTGAAATGAGTTATAAATCAGTCTATAGAGATTTTCTTGCTAGTCTAGAAGAAGATAACAAATTGAAATCCTTAAAATATGATGCTTTCAGAAAATTATGACATTAATTGACACCAGAAATTCAAATTATGAGTCCCAGGACTGACTTGTGTGATACTTGTCAACATTTTAGAGATGGTTTATATTATAATACTTGTCAAGAGAAAGAAGCTAAAGATCTGCTCAAAAGATTTAAAGAACATTTATCCAAAGCCAAAGTAGAAAGAAATTATTATAATAAAAACACAAATCTAGCAGAAGAACAAAGAAAATCAGTTGATCAACATTATTCAAAGGGTAAAAGACAAAATTGCAGTATTAATGCTACTGCATATTATAGTTATGATTGAGTCCAAAATGTTCATGTGCCACATTTAGATTAACAAATAAGTAAAATTTATTATCTTAGTCTATGTAAAGTTCATTTATTTGGTATTCAAGATGAGGCAGTGAGGGAACAAATTAATTATGTTCTTAATGAAGATGAAATTATAGGAAAAGGTCCTAATGGCACTCTTAGTTTGATCTTTAATGGAATTAAGAAATTGAATAAAGGTGAAAAATATTTAAAGATTACTTGTGATAATGCTGGTGGACAGAATAAAAATAATCCCACTATTTGATTTTATTTATATTTAGTAATTTGTAAATATTATGAAAGTATTGAATTAAATTTCATGATTCCTAAACATATCAAATTCAAATGTGATGGTAATTTTGACATGATTAAAAAACTCTATAGAAGAACAAGAGTAGACTGTCTAGGTCATGTGGTTGAGGTAATAAAAAAGTCTAGTCCAGCAGGATTGAATAAAGCTCAATGTTATGAAGGTGGAAGAGGTTTTCAATACTTAGATATTAAAGCTATTTTGGGAATTTATTTTAAAAAGTTACCAAGTATGCAGAAATATCAACATTTTCTTTTTGAAGCATCTAATCTTGGTACAGTAAAAGTTCAAGAAGTTGCTAATGGACCTTTTACTGAATTCAATTTATTGAAAATTAAGAAAACAGATATTTTTGAAGAAATTAGAGCTTTATCTATTTTAGTGTTAATCCCATCTCTTTTAAACTACAAAAGGCAAGAATACCTTTATAACAATATTTGCCCATTTGTGAAAGATGAAAGATACTACTTGTCTAAGACCATCCTATGCTGGCAACAAATAAAATATTTGGAATAAAATTACTTCTATAACTTTGCCACCCATTAATCTTTTTCCACTTTTAAAGTAAAAAAGTACTAAAATAATTTATATACTTAATATACCCTTATAAAAGTATATTAGTATATTAAAAGAGCAAATAAATACAAAAAGAAAATCATAGTAAACACAATAAATGAATTCTAAGAGAGAAATAAACAACTATTAGAAGAAAATGAAAATTTAAAGAAGCAATTAGCAGATAAAGAAGAAAATCTTAAACTAAAAATCTGACATGTTACTGGTCAGTCTATTGATGAAAAGGGTGAAGTTAGTATGTATGCTCCTACAGGAACAAGATGATATAAGAAACTAAACAAGAAATGAATGGATGAAGGCAAATTAAGAATGACAGTAGATCTTAATGAAACTAAAGAATGAGCTAAGAATTGTAAAAGAATTTGATTTGATAACATTACAATTGAAGAAATATTAGAAGGTTTTATTGATAATTCTAATGAATTAAGTTCACAATGATTAGATTATATTGGAAAATGAAGCAGAACTAATGAAAAACTTTATGAACAAAAGAGAGATTATGAAGGAAAGATTGAGGAATTAGAGGTAAAAAAGGAGAAATTGGAAGCAAGAGTAGAAGAGTTAGATGATGAAGTATGAATGGAGCAAGAAGAGGCTGAAAAAGCACTAAATAAAGCCATGGAATAGAGAAAATGACAAATGTTTGAAACTGTGTTGAAATATGATGCTGCAATGGGCAAACTTCAAGACTGAATAGATTTATTAGAAAATAATTTAGCTGCTAAAAATCAGGAAACAAACTGAAAAGATTATTTAACAACCAAAGAATTACCAGTTTTACCAAAACAATAAAAAGAAAACAGATTATGCAAACTCAAAAAATTAGTAAATAAAGTAAAAGAAAAGACTAAAGAGAAGTTTCAGACTTTTATTGTTCAAAAGAACAAGTAAGTAAATATGAGATTAGAATATAGAATTCTGAAAATAACCTAGGGAGATGAACAAGAGTGTAACTTTTGTTTTCTAGATTTTGATGACCCAACTTTCCTTAATTTTGATACTGCTCTTGCTACTCATCAAATGGTGACTCGTAATACTCCTGATGGTTATTCTGACATTGTCTTTATCTGTGGTGAATGTAAAAACAATTATGATAATAATACTCTTCCATGATATGAGAAATGTGGTAGGTTAAAAAGGAATAGAAACAGATGTTTTTGTAGTTATTTAAAAGCTAAATTAACTAAACCACTTTCTGACAAAGAACTACTTTTACAAACTTTCAGTTTTCGCCTAGAAAATAAAACTAGAGAACTAGAAAAAGAATTATCAATTACCAAAAAAGAATTAAAAATTGAAAGAGAAGAAGTAACCAAGTTTCAGGAAAAATCTGAAGAGTGAAGTAAAAAGCAAAAACAGGAGTTATTAGATAAGGTAAAGGGTTTAGAAAAAAGAATTAAACAACTAGAAAAGAAAAACAGGAAATTAAAAGATCAACAGAATAGTTAATTAACTGCTCAAATTGAAGTCAAAGAGACTAAAAGATGATCTTGATTGAAAATAAAAAAGTAGTTCTGTATAAATTGAAATTATTAAAGAAAATGGTAGTTATTTTCTTTTTAGAGATTTTTGCTTTTTATTAGGTAATAATACATCATCATAATGCTTTCTTTTTCTAATATTTATGATTTTTCTTTCTTCATGATAAATTTCATAAGTAATCCTTTTTTTTTTTAGATAAGCCTCAAGTGTTTGAGTATCATTTATTTTAAAGATGTAAGATGCGATTTTTTCACCTTAAGCTTTTTTTAGAATACTTTTAATGGTACTATAATTCTTAGGTTCCATAATAGATTTGATGTAAATGAGTTTCATATTAATTATTTTTGTCTAGACAAATATCATTGATCACATTACATTGTAATACAATTGTGATGTTAAACAAGCACCATTGGTCTCTGAAATACTTGGTAACACTAATGTTCACTTTGTCTTATTTTGTTACAGCATGCCTCAAGTTATATATATGATCTTAATAATATTTAATATTTTATTTATAAAGTAAATAATTCTTAAGTTAAATAACAATTCATATGAAATAATATATTAATATTATTAAACTGTTATAATTAAAGATGGTCATCATAATTAAAAAAAATGGTATAATTGAGTTGCAACTTGTGACGCAATTAAATTTCCTTATGACAAAATTAAGTTGTAACTTAGTTGAAATTTGAAAATAATTATGGGGATCATTTTTAATTATAATCAATACTTGTTATAACAAACTTTATATTTTAGATTTCAACTTCATTATAAGGCTATATTGAAGATTTTAAGAAATTTAATTGACTAATTTGTTATAATAAGAGTATTTTATTATATTTGTTCAAAAAATTTGTTATATTAAGAGTTCACTATATCAAGAATTAATTGTACTCTAAGTTGATAATAAAAATACCTATGAAATAGCTTTCAATTTTAAATCTTATTAAGATCTTTTATCTATATCAAAATATAAAGCTTATTATTAAATAAAAATAATTTGAAAAAAATAAAAATAATCTAAGTAAGATGAGAGATCTTTAAAGGA